ATTAAGATGTATATTATATAACATTTTCTAGTAATTCAATGTCTTAGCATAACTCTGTGATAAGGATTTATTGTTGTTGTTATTGTCTGTTGCCATCAAGTCAATTCTGACTCATGGCTACCCCATCTGTGCAGAGTAGAACTGCTCTATAGGCTTTTCAAGGCTGTGACCTTTCAGAAGGTGATCACCAGGCCTGTCTTTCGAGTTGCCTCTTGGTGGGTTTGAACCACCAACCTTTCAGTTAGTAATCAAGTGCCTAACCATTTGTGCCACCCAGGTACACACTTGTCCATGTATCAGTTAACACTAAGAATGATGCGAGAGGGGGATATGCCAACAACCAATGTTATATATATATATGGCTGGATGATATTTTAGATTTTTCTGTTTCCTCCACTCAAGCAGGCAGTCAACTCTGTGCTTCATTGCTTCACAGATACTTCAGAAAGCAGAAGTATCAGACAAGAATTCCTGTTTATGTTCTTAAAACCCATAGGAGATCTGTAAGATTCATGCATGAGTAAGAGGGAAAGGATTTTTCTGAAAGTGGCTGAGTGTCTCAGAACAAACCAGAAAGGAAGATAGGGGTTTCCCCTGAAGTCTACATAGCAATACCCCAAGATGGAAAGCAGAAAAAACTCTAGGGGTTGAAGACCTGGACCGGAAGCCCTGGAAGCCCCTGGGGAGTCTACAATATCACAGAAGGGAATAAATGTGTGGTGTGGTTGGGATATAGGGCCTTTGGCATGGGATTCCCAAGCCTTAAGAAATTCCCTAAGTATGTTACAGAGGCAATCTGGATCTGGAGGAACTGTAGGAGTAGAGACAATATCTCACCAGGAACTTCTTTGTACAGATGACTTACTTGAGAGCCTCCCTACCACATCCCCAAAACCATTCCTCACTAGAATGGTATAAATCCAAGGCCCTGGAGCATCCCTGGATATGGGAACAGCACGCAGTGACCAGTTTGGTTTATAGTGATTCTCTCCAATTCATAATTGTAATGAAAAACCATTTAAATGGATTTTTATTAAAAAAAAGAATAAGAGAATATTTAATGAAGAACCAGATGGTATCCGGTGGAAAACCAGCACCATGAGTTTAAAGAGCCTGCCATGGCTGCCATCTAAGAGCTCAACTAAGTCCAGGTATTGATCATCGAAGTGTTATCTCCAGTCTCCAATCAAAAGGAGAGAATGATTTAGGAGATAATATTGGAGCCATTATTCCCTGTCCTTGAACACAGAGAATGTGACCCAGCTGGAGCTGGAATCACAAGGACTCACAAGGACACATCAACTGGGCCCTAAGGTATAGAGTCAATAGCTAGGACAATCTTGGAAAACATCTTTTAGGGAACCTTTGGCATAAAACACAGCACTAAAGACCCACATACTTTCCACTCTTATCTTTTTCTATTAGCTTTTAGTGAATAGTAAGATTTGCTGGACCAATGAAGACCCTCCTGACGGTCATCACTGCAACCTGTCCCAATGATTATTAAGAAAGATAATTCAAAATGCAGAATCAAGGAGATTTAGTAGTTTCTAGCCAATCTGTGGAAAGGTGAAGCTTTCAATGGTTTTGCCCATTTGTAAAGTTAATATATACTGATGACTCTGTAACGTTCCTCAGACTCAGGCAGACATGGCTCTAGCAGCATTCTTGTCTGTTTCCTACTTTTACCTCTTTGAATATATGCCAAATAAAACCTTTCTTTTTGTTTTAAAGAAAAGAGAGAGAGAGACAATAATTGATTTCTACTAGAGCCACATGGTCGCTATGAGTCAGAATTGACTCGACAGCAAGGGGTTTGGTCTTTTTGGTTTACAGCCAGGTGAATACTGACACTATAAGAAACAAAGTGGCCTTGGATTACATTGGTATTTTCCACGTCGTATTTAAATCAGAAACCTGAATGTTACAAATGCCCAAGAAATTCCTTCATCAATTCTTGATATGATGCAGCCATTTTTAGCTATGACTGTTGCAGTTAATTCTCCATGTTGGTGGACTAATAAAAGTTTGGTGAGTTGATGTTAGTATTTGGATTGGTTCTGGAGAATATGTTTTGACTTAAAGCATCCTTCCTCCTTTACTATGTGAAAAGCTAAAGAGACTTGAGAGATTTCGGGATCCTATTTAACCCACACAATTCTAATTAGAAGTTACACTATCTCCTAATGAGTTGGTAGTGGTTATAAAACCAGTTTTCTTAAGAAGCTAAAAGGAGCTCAATACAATTGAGGCTGAATCATTTCCTGAGTATGGCTCTATCTTTGGCCTCTTCACTATCCCCTGGACCCCACTGACTGACTCCTAGCCTCCTCCATTACAGCATTCCTTCTTCTAATTTTACATTTCACTCACTCCTAAAATTCTCTCTTTCCCTATGTAAAGGATATTGACTGTAGTGGCAAAGAAAATTGTAAACCACTCAAGTAAACAATTCAGTTTAAAAAAAAAAAAGTCATCTCTCATCTTTAAAAAAACAAAGCAAACAAACAAAATAATAACAAAACAAAAAAACCTTTACTCCCACATCACCTCCACAGCTGCTACCTTATTCTCTGCTCCCCTTTACAGCAAAACTCTTAAAATAATTATTCTTTTTCACTGTCTCCTTTTGCTGTCTTCCCATTCTTCCCTGAAACCACTACGTTCAGCCTTTCATTTTCACTCCTTTACCAATCTACTCTTGTCAAGGTCACCAATTCCATCCATATTGTCCAGCCCAGTAATCAAGGTCCCATCGCCCTTGGCTTATTAGTATTTACAGAGTTGATCATGCTCCCTTTCTTGATACACTTCTCCATGTGCTCTTGGGAGAGAATTATCTCTCATAGTCTCCTCTACCTCAACAGCTGCTCTTTTCAATGTGCTTTGCTGGTTCCTGCTTACCTAAAAACCCACTTACCCCCAAATCCATTATGACTCCTGGTGATCCCACATGTGTCAGAGTAGAGCTAGGATCCATAGAGTTTTTAATGGCTGATATATTGGAAGTAGATCTCCAGGCCTGTCTTCCAAGGAGCCTCTGGGTGGACTTGAACCTCCATCTTTTCCATTAGCAGAGACTGAGTTAACTGTTTGCACCATCCAGGGACTCTCTTCTTGTTGTTGCTGTTAGGTGTCATCGAGTTGATTTTAGACTCATAGCAAACCTATGTACAAAGTAGAACTGCCTTACATAGGGTTTTCTAGGCTGTAATTTTTACGGGAGCAGATCATCACGTTTTTCTCCCAAGGAGCCACTGGGTGGGTTTGAACTGACAACCTTTTGGTTAGCAGCCGAGTGCTTCAGAGTTGCACCACCAGGGATCTTTTTTTTTTTTTTTAATTGTACTTCAGGTGAAGGCTTACAGAACAAATAGTTTCTCATGAAACAGTAGTACACATGTTGTTTTATGACATTGGT